CAGGTTCGAAGCCTGAATTTTTTTCAGCCTTTAATTTCACAACTGCTTAAGTTGTGAATATAATTGCGATAATCATTGATGTAATACTACCCCTTAATTATGATCCTCTGCACCAGGGTCAACTAGAGTTTTGGTTATACGGTATACAGTGGAGTTAACTGAAATTGGCCCTGGGGGATGGTGGTATACAATATTTTCATGCAAAAATGAGAGTATTTTCAGTTTTTTTAGTTGCTGATGTAAAGTATTTGTTGTTTGGTTTCTTTTCTCAGGAAAGTGGTTTGATATTTTTGGAAAAATTGTTGGGTTGTTTTTGAGTAGTTCTTTTTTGAGATATATTGATACACCTCTATCCATGCTTCCCCCTTTTTGGAACAAACATCTTAAAAGTAAATTAATTCTCTATTGCCCATCAGCTGCCTATGAACATGCATGCAATCCACTTTCAAAACTCTTTGCCACACAAAAGCCGCTCAGAAACCATACAATTGGGCCGGGAGGGATTCCTTACGTTTCTTCTAGGAGAAGTTGTGACTTACAACCCAGAAGAGACAACGAGTATCAACTTTCCATCTCGGCTGATTTGTGTTTTTTAAATGCAGGTTCCGGCTGAACAGATATCACTTTTGAACAAACTCAAGAAGCATCTTCACAATCCTCTGAAAACTACGCAAAGCGCTTACAAGGTTGCCATGGTATGTACAAGTGGTATCAAACGTTATGCATGTCTTCAGGCAAATGTGAGTCTTTTCCACATAGATTACGCCTCAGAGTAAAAACACCTTAAGAACTAAAATTTGTGAAATTCCTCATATTTACAAGAATAACAGATAAAATGAATCAGTGTACATACAGTTATTTAACAATTATTCTGCGAGTGCGCGTAGGCGCGTTGGATATGATGGTAGATGCTACGAGGCGCGTTGGCTATAGTCATCTCATATCCAACAAATGCGAGTGGAATAATTGCTTTATTAAAAACGCACCCAAGGCTAAACTAAAATAAAAATAAGAACGCCCCAAGAGATCACCCGTACGCTTTCCATATTTGTAGAGTATGGTATAATGGCTCATAACTCATGATTGCTAAGCCAATGAAAACTCTCGAATTTCAGTAGCAATGATCCAGCTTTTAAGAAAAATAAATAGACCAATTACAACTACAACTAACTAAGTGCTTGTTCTATTTAAGGGTTCTGAGCCTGAGTGCACGGGTTTTGAGGACGATGCAAGTTGTGTGTGGACACTGGATTACATTTGGTTCGATTCAGAAAATTTAAAGGTCACAGCTGTGTTGGAAACTTTACCCGAGTCAGCTATTGCTACGTACAGAGGATTTCCGAATGAGTATTTTTCATCAGACCATTTTTCTTTGAAGGCAAATTTCAAGATCATTGAAAAACTTTGATTGTTGCGACAGTAAGCTACGAACAGGGTTGCCACAAGTCTCCCTCCCTGTATTCAAACCAAAAAATACAAAAGTTTCTTGTGTGTTGAAATTTGTCCCCCTCTTCAGTTTCTCTGTAACTGACGAATCGTTCCAGTTGAATAATATAATGGCGCGCTATATAAACTGAGCTCTGGTCAGCCTCTAGCAGTACTCAGACGTTTTGGAGACATGTTGCGTGAGAATTCTATGACAAAAACAGGACAATGACAGAATCCTGTATTAAGTCATATCTCAGAGTACACATCTTTCAAAAGATTTCATTAACTCGGCCCAGGGTCATCATTACACGAGAGTGCGGTTGTTCACGAAAACACGCATGTCTGGGATGTCTAGTCATGCCAGAACAAGTCTACAGAAAAAGAAAGAAAACATTGCGGTCAAACACGCGATGCTTATTTAACACGACAATTTTTGTTATATTAGACTACAACACGGTGTGGCATCTTGTGTATATAATCAATGGGGTTTTGCCCGGCGTAAGTATTCAGTGTAAGATTGCATGATGCTCTGATCAGTTAATTCACTTTTATCCACAGGGTCAAGTTGTGGTTTGCGGTCAAACGAACACGCGTACGTATAACCCTTTCATGCCTGACTAACAACTACACAGGTTCTCCCTATCTCCATATGGCTTTTGTCTACTTTCTAGTTGGGAGAATTTGATTATCCATTAAGACATGGTTGACTCTGATCGCACTTGGATCTTACCGAGATCAAATCTCGGATAATCTTATCTGCGACACGTTTCCTCCAGTAGTAATTGATTTTAATTTGCTCTCTTTTCCAGCGCCCTTAAATCCGGAAAATGTTTGAAACACTTCTAGCTGGTGTTTTAGAAACTAAGTCAAAAGTGCTATTAGTCAGACAGAATGGTGAAATGAATGAAGGAAAATGTCAGAGTTGATTAAATGGGTCTAACGAAGAGTTGTTTAAACTCTATGACTTTTCTGACGCCGATCGTGATCCATATAATCTTAGACGGGATAGAATGTCTGATTAGAATGACCCTTCTCCCCTCAGCCTAAAGTCTGTAATGAATTTGCGCTAAACCCAACACGCGCTATTTTTCCACCATTGCAACTGGAACGTGATGGTCTTACCTACTTTATTAACAAACAGGTTCAAGGCATCTTAGGCCCAAGTTTGGGCCTAAGATGCCTTGAACCTGTGCTTGGCTGACAGAGGGGCAAGTAGAATTTTAGACTGAAAAGGCCGATCATTTAAATGAAACTTAGAAAGGGCCAGTAACTTGAGAAAAAGTCACGAACTAAACTAGCTTACATCACGTCAAGTAAACGCGATCCACTTAGTGAAACAGGGTCGCAAAATTAGAATTTCTTAGGTCTTGTACATCGTAAGGGTTTTTATGGCTGAGCGGCACATCCCCACCCAATGTTTTTGGCGAGTACCCCCGGGGCAGATCAAAGGGAAAGACTTTTTAGTAAAAGGCAGAAGGACTTCTCTCCCCTTTTAAAACAGTAAAAAAGCCACATCTTCTTTATCACTCTCATCCCCTTCCTTGCCGTTTTGAGCACCGTTTGCCATCTAAATCGGCGCTTAGATCCTGTTTTAGACACAGGAAATTGTTATATGTCCACTTGTCATTTAACTACAACCAGCTGGGAACACTCAAGACTATCATTTTCACTGGAAATGAAGTCATCAATATTCTGATTGTACAAACAGACAGCGTTGAGTACTCAAATTTAGGGCGGGGATGCTTCGCCCACGTGAAAACAATAACTATTTTAAGAAACGTTCGAGCAGTGTTTTATGATTATGTCCTGCGGCAGTGAAATAAAATCCATTCGTATGCACTCACGGAACAGGCCTTGTTTGTTGAGTTCATCTTTTTGGTCTGAGAACTAAAATCATATAAACTGTACCTCCAAATTTACTATCAAGACCTCGTCGTAATAGACAGTTTGCCTGGTGCTGAACTCGTGTTAACTGTAGTTTTATCATTTAACACTAATAAACAAGCATAAACAAGTTCAGGCCATGCTGGAGGAAACAAAACTACTATAAACTCGAGCTCATAACTGACCACTCGCTTCTATAGACACTTTCCTTGGTCCGGAAAGGCCAAGATGCCATTTCTCAGGTTCTAACCGCTACAATAAGAACACCTTGTGTAGACCATAATTTCATCAAATTTTATCACTATTTTAGCAGTGATAAACGCTTGCGTGTAATCCATTTATACCTTCATACTGGCACCTTATGGAGCTGGAATGTACCTAATTAGAGCATGATTATAGATACCCCCATAAATGGCACTTGAGTTTGTCCCTTCCGGGTGTCCGTATTGTATCAACAACGTGAGGATATGCAAACTGTTATCACAACATTGAATACCTCCTGACTACACGGACACTTGACCATCTCGTGCTGTTGGATGTGTCAAACTGAAGTGAGGTCACGAAATTAACACGATTAGCGTTAATCCAAAAAGCTTGTGTCTAATGTGACTGCTTGTTTACAATCTGAAATTATTCTCTCAAGTTCCTGAAATCCATAATACCCTACCATAATCTCTTAGAAAAACGGGAATTTGTATTGATCGTTAGAGCCATCGTTGAAAACGTAAAACTGACAATGACATGGCTTTTAAAAACTGTGCGACAAAGTAAGAGAATGGTAATACAGGGTGGAGTTCCTGCATATGTTCGTGCTTATGGTGTGAGCCATGTTGAGTTGATTACGAGACGGTTATGACCTCTCTATACGGTACCCAGACTAATGAAATCTGTGTCTCTTGTCCACTAAGTGTCGGGCTCTTTTCAAAGCAGGACTGATTAAGCCAAGCCCTACCCTGAATCGATATTGAAATGGAAGCATACGAAAGAGAGGTTTTTACTCTTTAAGTTTTAGTATTCCGAACATTCTATTGGTTATTAAAAAACGTGACGGTGGGTTGTAACAAATTACCGTTATTACATTTCATTCACATCCGGTTTTTCGTCACGCATGTCTATCTGTAACGTAACGAAAATTCCAGAAACTTTCAGTTTAGCAAGTTGTGGTGTCCAACAAAATTATGTTGCAAACGATTTGATTTATTTTTGGTGAGATTTTTTACAGGGAAGTATTTAGCTCTACTTTATTTTTTTAGAAGGTTTTTCTTAATGGGGGAGATAGTGAAACTAAACTGCGAAACATTTTCGGATTTTGTATTTCGTAGGGTGGGGGCGACATATTCGACAGGAGACGAAATGTCTTCTCAAATATCACAATCTATCAAAGATTAGAAAAATAAAAGCATTTAAATCGATATCCTGTTGGAAGCCACAGCAATCTCAAGTAGAAAAGCCGGATCTGTGGGCACGTTCGTTTAGACCAATAGTGTGGGATTGTGTCTTAAAAACAGCCACGCCGTGACTATGGGAAGCCATTATACTCTTGTCCTCTATCCGATCAAAATGTCACAAAAATTGGTCAACCTCTTGTTGAGATTATTTGTACTCGCGTTTGTTCTTCTGGCTGAAAGTGGAAGCGGTTCGTTTAACATCACGAGATACACAGCCGGTGATGTTTTTCAAAACATAAACTCTTCAAGATCTTGTAACGACAGTGGTGCAAAATGCGTTTTCGACGGAGAGAATTCGCCATTTTGTGGGATCAACTGCTGTTTCTGTAGGTGCAACAGTCAAACACCGACATATCTTCAAAGAAACGGCAACTGCAGTTCAGAAGATCGATTGATGTCCATTTTGAAAGTCCAAAGTACTATTCAAGGTAAGCTCATTTTATTATCATGACTAAGACAGACTTCAGTGAAGTCTCGGATCAACAGATAATTTTTAGTGAATTTGGCATCGAGCGCGGGACGTGAGATATTCGTCGATATTCGGCGCCAAAAGGCGACCAACATTTGGAACCTTCCCAGTGAAGGGTTACAATTTATTCCGTTTTGTACACATGGGCGATGGCTAAACTGTACTCTGCGCTGACAGAAAATAAGAGGCGTTGATAGCACGCCTGCTATTTTAGCCATGGCATTGAATTTTAATGAAAGCAAGAAGATTTCGAGTTTTCAATCATCGCTCATATCTTCTTAGTGTCGCGATTTTTTTCAACCATGGAGGGCAAAATTAAACAAATAACAAACAAACTTCCTTTTTGTTCTCCTTCTAATATCTTACACTTAAAGTTGTTTTGTGGTAATTTTTTTAAGTAGCGTACCACGCGAGATCGTCCCATTGATGGATTGCTTGATCTGCTTAAAAAAGTAAAGCCTATTAGGCAAACGATAGAACTGCTTTGTGCCTTCATTCTGTCGCTCACTATTATCCAAACGGTATGTTCATAAGGAAAACCGGCTGTGAAAGTTAAACGGCTATCTAGCTGGTGTGTTGTTGGTTACAACGAATGTTTGATCAATGCTTCGAAGAACCTTCTCTTCGCTTTCGTGATGAACTATGACAGCGACATGTTACGCCATGACTATGTCGAACTGTGGAGACCTGTGAAAGTCCAAGGTCAATGTTTCGTCTGTTGATTTAGCTGTAGATTGTTATCACTAAAGCGGTGTGGTCGACAACGTTAATGTAAAGAAAAAGAAAGAATTGTCTCGAATTAATTCTCAACATATTGTCGTCTAGGCGTTCGGAAGACTCGGAATCCTATGATACCACGGAAGCGCTGGCGGAAAATTGATATATACGATTATGGTATTTATGTCACGGCTGAAATATGTTTATGATCATTACTGTAAACAACTTGGACAAACTATAATTAGTTTTCGGCCGTTTTCAGATCTTTCCCAGTTTTCACTTTCACTATGTTCCTCTTCGTGCATTCCGCGGGAAGAACGCGTTCACAAGTAGTCTCTTGCGTTATTTTGTTTGCACGCATCTTTGGCTCGTCACGCAATCTTTCCCTATTATGTTCTAGTTTGGCGGTTTTTAAGCTTATAAAATTAAACTGCCAAGCTATGCAGGCTAGTACGTAATAGTATAGTGATAAAACGCCCCTTTTACGGAAGTGTGGCCTGAGCGGAAGCGGAAACCACTGCTTAAAACCTACTTTTCTAGCTTTTGGAGTCCTTTTAAGATGAGGGAGAAGAGTAAGATTTTTGCGGTGGAAAAGTTAAGGGGCGTATGAACACTTCAAAAGTGAGGACGAAATGTTAATACAGTTATAGGATTTATCATACGGAACGTTCGATTCTTTAACGTAGGCTTTAGCGCCGGATTGTTAAGATTAGGCGAAAGTTCAGGGACGGAAATCTGGTGGAAGTAAAAGGATGAGAACAAGAACAAGAAGAACAAGAACTCTAGGCGAAAAGACCGTTTCCAGCATTCTAACATGATGTTTACTATGACTCAAAATGTAGAAAACCGCACGAATTATAGCAACTGCGTAATAAGGTTTTCTAACGACTGCACTAATATATAGGCAAAAGCAATCGATGGGCAAATTTGTTTGCGCAAGAAGAGCTACAAATCACGTTGAACGTAAAAGCAAAAAAGAAAAAAAAACGCATTCATTCATTCATGTAGCTTGATTGCATGTGGGGAATAACACCTAACCGATGCCAATCGCGGGAAAACATTTTAACTGATTGCAGGAGCGGGAAAACTTGTAGCCGGTTTTAAGCGAGGGAAAACATTTAGCCGGTGGCAAGCTGGGGAAAGCATGTAGCCAATGCCAAATACGGGAAAGTGTTTGGCTAGCGTAAAGCGCGGGAAAATATTTAACCAACACAAAGCGCGGGAAATGGGAAGTGGCAAGTGTGGAGAAAGTGCAGCCCGCGGCAAGCGTGGGAAAACACGTAACTGTGTACCAGAGCATGCTGCATTCCTGCGCCAAGGAACAAGAATGTTCTGATTGGTTACATCTATCTTTGGTTTTGTTGACAAATGATCTTATGATTCCTAGGTTGTAATCATCGCACGGTTTTGGGTGTGGACCATTTTCAGTGTCTGAATGAGGTTCTTACCACACTGAGCACCGAAATTCCAGGCAACAATACCTTATATCTGTGTCCATGGAAGAAGGAGGTCGGCCTTATTCACTTCCAGCTGGCTAAGAACTTGTTGAGATGTGAGATTCTCTCCAATGAATCGCTTTATCTCTTTAATGGCAGTTGGAAACTTTTTCCACCTGATGAACAAGTCCTGTCAAAGCTAAAGGTTGAAATTCGACCAGATCCCTTTCTTGAAGGTGTGAACAAGCTTTTTCTCAAAGTAAGTGCAAAGTAATGGTTTACGCTGTATAATATTATAAATGATACCGCAAAAGATCAGCGTTATTTTCTGTTCAAGGAGCCCAGTGGGAGGTTGTGGTGGATTAGCGAATAGTACGTTACTTTCGAGTGGTTAGGGCGCCGGACTTGAAATCCGGAGGTCGCGGGTTAAAGTCCCGCTCTGACCACTTAGCTGGTGTTTTTTCAGGGTAGAACCTAGTTCAACTCCTCGGTCATTCTTGTAAATAACCAACTGGTCTGCCTCCTGCCAGCTGGAATTTTTAAGTCTATTATGTTTAGTTGATATATTTGTTTCTTTCAGTTCAAGTGGCATGCCTGTGAACTAGCTAGGTTTAGCTAAGCCCATTGCCCACTATAAACAACAACAACATTCGAATATTTTTGAACATTCAAGAGAGAAGGAAAGCCGGTAGCTGGTCAGAATTGATTTAAAGAGTCATGTGAAAAAATAAGCTGCAAAGAGATTCCTGAGGAATGGATTGGTGAAAAGAAACTTATAATTACAGCCTCTCCTAAGTGCCCCTTCTCCTTTCCACTTTTCGAATGGTGTGTCTTAAGGGAGTTCAGTAACGGCATTTTGCGTTGTTTTGGCCACATACAAACTTACCTTTAAAGTGAAGAAAACGCGAAAATAGTAGTTACTTAGATAGAAAAACACCACAAAGATAATAATAAACCATAAAGGAACAAGGATGGTTAAGGATGGACAAGATTACAGATTACAAACGACGAACTTGAAGAATTTGGGTTAAACTTTTCAAGCCACGCAAACTGTGACGTAGCTCCTTTATTGGTAGCATCATCCTCGTATACATACCAACTGTTTCTTTTCCAAACGGTACGTTAAGTCAGACTCAACTTCAAGATTTGAGCTTTCAATTTTAACGTTTATCGCATATTTTCTACGTTTATTGCTCAGTGGACCACTAACTTTGGAAAGCAGTATGACGGTCGCATTTTGTCGCTCAAGTTGCAATGTCATGGCGAACAAGGAAAACTTTTGAATTCTTGCGTGCATTTCAAGAAAAGTGGATCCCGTAAGTATAACGTTTTGTTTTAGAGACAACTGGAATTTTCGACGAGAACACGCACAATCCTAGCCTGGGGGGATTCCCGTTTGAAAAGGTTGAGGATGCTCATTGCCTCTTATAGGGGTATAAATCAAGGATATACTGGTCTCACTTAGGGTGTTGGTTATGAAACCCCAGTAGTTATAGTTTTCAAAGTATCTTGTGCACTCGAAGAAATAATAATAAAAAACCCACTCATTTTTCCGTTTTCACGCTCGATTTCCAGCGGTCTACTAGCCCGGGCTCCTTTCCCGAACTGCGGCTGGTAATCGATGCTATTCCGTTGTAAGTGCTATCTTTTAGGGATCAGATAAAGCTTGAGCCATGCCCACATTGGTCTCCTTTAGGGGTTTAATTCAAATTTTCCAACAAGCATCCCTGACCTTTTCATATGAGAAACCCACTCACCACCACCCCTTCCCCCCCCCCCCGAATCCTAGTTAAATCTGATCGCAGGCGTCTCTCACTCTCGAGAGTAAGAGATACTTAAACATGAGTTAAAAGGGAACATGTTTTCAAATAGCAAAGCGGTCTAGTTTTGGCCCGCTGCCAAGCTTGGACCCTGCAATCAAAATTTTGCTAGCAAATGCAGTATTTGTCCAAACATGTATAATTTCGCCTTTCCTTGTTACCCTTAGTTACCGACATCAAGCCAACTTTAATACCATCAATGAAAAGCACCCGCGTAAGAAATTCTTCTGTCCAGAGGAATACACCGACAGTAGCAGCCACAACAACTTTCGCGTCTGTTGGAAGGGTCTCCATTTCGACGACTACGCATGTGCTGATTGCTGATGATACGTCACTCGGAGACAAACGAAAGAAGTACAACGTAGTTGTTATTATTCTGGCAGCTTTAGGTGCGGCTTTGTTCGTCTCCCTTGCGTGTGTAGCCGTTATTTTTATTCTGTGGAGACGCAGCCGGTAAGCAATTTAACATTATTAACTACATGATTATCTTTCATGTGATTCTGTTTATTATGCTGTACAAGGTGGTTCTAACTTTTCAGTCTGTGAATAAAACCCTAGTGTGTGACCATTCAGATGAAAGCTATTGAGCTATTTTCATGTGGTACCGTTTACTATACTGTACAAGGTGGTTCCAGCCTTAACGTCTGTGGATAAGACCTATAGGGTGCGACCATTCAAATGAAAGCTATTAAGTCCTTCTTTCATGTAGTTCTGTTTATTATGAGTTGAACTAACCCTACCGTGTGTCGCTCAAATGAAAGCTATAAGCCATAACTTTTGGAAACCACTCTGAATGGTTCTTGTCTTGTTTTTTCATACAGACGGTTTAATATGAGAAAAGAAGCCAAGAACGGTAAGTCTTCTTATGAGAAGTTTGATTTTAAAAAATCGTAAAGAACATCGTTTTTACGCCCGACGGGGTTGCAACAGGCCAGGAAACGCTCAGGACAAACTTCTTTATGGTCAAAGAAAAGTCAGCGAATTTTATCTTGTGTCGGGGAAAAGTTACATTTTGAAGAACAATCAGCGAAATTGAAACACAACACCGCTGATTTAATACCACTGAAGGCTGGAAAAAACACTTCTGGGGTCACTGTGATCTCAACGATGCTTTTCCTTAATGAAGAAGGTTGAGAACTCATCAGGCTAAAATGAATGGATGAAAAGAACAGCTGTAAAGACAGGCTAAAAGGCCACCACTGCATCTGACATTTGGCAGTTATTTGGTCTGGAAAATTTTATTTTTATCAGGCAAAGTCAGGGAATATAAAATAAAATGTATGTAGTTACCACAGCGAGACGTACGTTGACTTTTTAATGCGGCGTAGAGTTAAGTTCGCAGTCTAAACGCCAGTTAAGCTGTATACATTTATTCTCTGTCACATCTTTCCTCCTGACTTTCAATGATATCAAGACTTCCTTATCACATGCACATTCAAAGCAGCTCTGTTTTCAAGCTATAGTTAAAAAGGTCTATCTTTGTTTCCAAGCCTCTAATCCTATTTACGAGCGAGGTGCCTCGGACACGTTAAAAATGGCGTCAATCACAAACAGAAGCGGAGAAAACGAGGAAGAATGGCCCGAGTATCAGCCGTTGGTGGAGAATACGAAGCCCAATGAACAGTCAGACAGCCTGCCTGGTTACCGAGCGCTGTCTACTGGACAGAGGCCCACCCAAGGGGCCCGCTCGTCCAATTATCTTAGTTTAATAAAAGACGATACGGAAGAAGGGCGAAATTATCAGACTTTGGTAAAAGATGTCGACCCACAGGTTAGTCGGTTCCAAGCTTGAAGCACAAAATTCTCCTTTTCTGCTTAACAGAGATTTATTTTGATGTTAGTCGTGAGAATTAAGTAATGGTCAGTGTCTTTATTCTCATCACTTGTGCTAACATTCCTGTAGGTATTACAGACTGTTAATGAAGAAAAGATTCCCGATTACCAGGAGCTAGAAGAACGGACCGATAGTGAAGGTGATTTACGTCATTTAAAAAGTTGCAGGATGTTTGTAGGACGCCTAGGCACGAGTCACCTTATTTCTATGTCATCTTGGGTTGCCCCTGTTAAACGCTTGTCTTGTGAACTAATATCGGGCAAATAATATGTTTTGATCTTTATATTCAATTGGTTAGTCTTTTTTATCACGTTTGTGTAATTTCTCTTTGCTGGGAGAATCACTTTTTTTCAATTGGAAGACACATAATTTACGATACTAACATTATTTACACTACTTACAATATTGACATCACTTACAATACTATCATTGCTTACAATAGTAACAATACTACCGTTTACTGCTTACTATCGCGAAATTTTTTTTATTTGTTATATCTGCGGTGATAGATTTATCCCTTTGCAGATTACAAATGTGGATGATATAGATCTACTGATCTACGTCTAAAGATCCAGCACTCTTCAGTGACTCTGTGGTTTTGTCTTTGTAATTAATTCATAGGGAAAACGTATTATTAATGCTAATATTTTCTCAAAACTTTAATTTCAGATTCGTTTGATTCTTCTCACCATCCTTCCATGGATTCCAATTTAGATTACGAAGATCCTCCCTTGGAGGCAATTATGAAGAAAATAAACCCTTCCAAACCAGGGAAACAAAAAATAAACGATTTATCTTCAGACATGCATGATTATGACGAGCCAGAAGGTATTATCGTCATATCAGACCATGGAGATAACAACGAGCAGGCGATAAAAGACAATATTGACTTTCACGATTACGCCGACCCGGATAATACTGATGAAGATAACACAAAATGTCACGTGGTAGTTAGTGAAGATGCTTCTTGTTACCATGATTACGATGATCCCGCTGAATGAGAATGGGACCCGTGACATTGAATGGGTCTATAGTGTGGTATAAGAATCATTTACTGGTCACGGCATCTATGATCGTGACTAGTTTTGAGCGTGACTAGTCATGAGCGTGACTTCCTGTAAGCGTAACTTTCTGTAAGCTTGACTCGCTATGCGTGACTTGCTATGGTTATGCTGGATTTATCACAGTCAAGCCTCAAACCCCGTCTATCCAACAGACGAACAAATCGAAGTGAAAAAGAGCTGGCGGGATTCAAGAATCTTTTTCGATCAGAATTCCATTCTCGAGAGTTAACTGAGCTCTCGGCACTGTAGTTGCCTAGCAACGCGACATAACCTGACGGTGACAAACTGACGACACAACTGTTGGAATGTTCGTGCTTTTTCTGATTTGTCAGTGAGAATATTGGGAATTCTTTGTCTCTTATAACTCCGACGAATATAACAAGTATTTTTTTCCCTCACTTAAGCGAGCATTTCTCAAAAACGTCAGTGGTTCTCCTAGCTATTCCAGTGTTCTAGTCGACAAAGCAAAGGTGTCAAAGTTAGGTGTATGTTGCTCACTTTTCACGGACGCTCTGTACACAATCTGAAGTGGAGGGTGGAATCTCACTTGAGGGAGGGGAAAGACTGGGTATTACGAAAATGGTCACTTCTTCCTTGATATCTTCACCAAAAAACAGTCATTGACCAACAGTCATTGGTCACAATGAAGGCCTACTTCAAGTTATATATGCTGTGCTCAAGTATGAACCAAGTTATTTAATCGTTTAAGGAAAATCTCTATATCTGGCGAAAAGGCTTTTCGTTTATTTTCGGTTTTGTAAATAGTGAAGATTTACCTCTAAGAGTAGAAATTTAGTGTACGGGCTAGAACTTGCTCTTCAAAAGAACAGAATGAAACTTGAATTTAGCGAAGACATCGTTTTAGGTGTCCTAAATAAGTTTAGTGCTAAGTTAGCATCTAGTGGTCTCTCGTTTTACGCATGCTCAGTTTCATCCCTTGCAAGACCCGCACTGATGACGTAACACTAAAGAGATCTGATTGGTCGTGGCTCGCGCGCGAAAATTTGTGACAGATGGAAACGCCCGTCAGTGACCTACGTATCTGCGTGATGGTTACGTCATTAGAATTTGAGTCAGACGTTTCTGTAACGGAACAGTACAGTGCACATTGAAAGACGGCTAGCTAAAATTTAAATATTGATAATTTAGAACTGTCAGTAAGCTGATTCCTCTCGGCTATCGTACACCTCCTTGGTATAAATTTCTTTGTCTCCCCGACGTTCCACTGCTTAAAACATTCAAGATAGCGGCCAAACATTTTGCGGAGAAATATTGACGGTCTTTTGTCGGTCACAAATTTTCGCGCTCGAGCCACGACCAATCAGATCTCTTTAGTGCTACGTCATCTAGCAGGCTTAGATTATCTAATGAAACGGAATAAGTAAGCCACTTGGGAGCTAAATTCAACTTTTACTGTGGGACCACACCGTATGTCTACCCTGTTAATACGACCACCTCTTCACTATGACACCATTTGTAGTCCATTTAGCTTAGTTCGACATGTTCGTATTTTATTAACGTTAGGGCAGCCACTATTTTATGACCCAAAGGTGGTCGCATTAGCGGGGTATGGTCTCGCCAACCATGAGTCTTTGAATGCAATATTTACTTCCTTCCATTGTTCTATTTCCATATGTATCGGTTGAGTCTGAAGTCTTTCCGGCCTTGGCTTTCGTAAGTTTTATTTTTGTACAAAGTAACCAAAGATTAGCTGTGACGTTTTTCTAAAAATAGCTTCGCTTGTATTACAAATTACGGGTGGCGAAGAAAATTACAATAGTGTAAGTTATATTGCTACTGAACTGAAATTCACTTCCCGTGGTTGATGATTTTCTTTATTGTCATCGACTGTCTGCATGACCAGGCATTGATAATGTAAGGAGAAATAAGAGGGTCCTAATGAAAGGGAAGGGGCCCAACCGAGTATCCCATATCCCGTAAAGTGGACTTAAATTTTGGCCTAAATACCCTGTATCCCGTTATTTCCAGTTGAAAAAGTAAATGAGTTCCTACTCGATGTCCCGTTTTTATCTGATATAACCATCTCACATCCCATTAATTTTTCTTTAGATATCCCGAAAACACCTAATAGGGCCTCGACATGGGGTGAGAGATTAATGGATGTCCGCTGACCAGCTGTGACGTCATACAATCGTGATTAATATTAGTCGCTACAAATGCTGTGATCACGACTTAATTTTCTCCTCACAAAGGGAATCCTCTAGGTTCTAATTACATTAAGAGACAGATCTCGAGAATTCTAACTCAACGTGGAGTCAGGGAATTCGCAAATACACAGGGAGAATTTGCCTCGCTACCTCGAGATTAAATTCCTTACAACTCGACGATTCCAGTATCAAATGATATATACTGTGCATGTTAAGATTTTAGCGTCAAACCTCCTTAATTTGGCGAGCGACAATACAGAGTTACGTACTTGAAGCTTTTCTTGCTGTGAGGCAATGTTGGTTCCTGACAAACAAGGGCGAATATACTTACAATATACTGTAGAAATCTTGGAGTTGTAAAAATAAACTTATCTGATGAAAAATTTTCTAGCCAAATCAGAAGCCAATGAGATGAGATTGTGTTTGTTGTCACGTAGTCAGTTTGTTGTTTTCTTCGGAAAAGCAGCGGTCCGTGGATGAGAAAGTTAAAACATCGAGTAAACAATAACTTCACCAATAGATGTGTCAAGTGAAGTTTTCAATCAAATTGGCGATATTTAACGTATGAGTGATTTGTCGCGTCAAAGTGCGTCCATGTGCGCCAATCAGGTTGAAAGGACTTCATTCATTACGCCAGCATCACGGAAAGTATAACTTATTCACCGCTTTCTCATATCACACTACGTCAGTGCCTTTGAAACAGATCGAGCAGGACGATTCGCGTGGAAAGACCCTTCAACTGTGGAAATCAAACGCCAAATCTAATTAACGCTCGGATCATGAGGTCAGAAAGTGCCACAAAACTTAGCTGGCTGCTCTTTGTGATTTTATCCCAGGCAATAACAGTTACCTGTCAAAATGAAACTATTCCGACAACAAGTTCTGAAGGTAGGTTGCAAATGCACAGTATTTCAAAATCTGCATGTAAGTTTTAATATGTACTACATGTTTGCGTTTTAACTTGTCCTAGATTACGTAATTTATTTCTTCTGTTAACGTTCGCTCAAGTAAGTCATATGCAACCGAAAGTTGACTTTTGTTTGTACAAAATTAGCTGAGGCGCTTATAAGATCAATAAAAGGACAACACGGATACACTCGATAACTGGGTTGACATCTTTGTGAATGCAATTGCAATACTAATTACAACGAACTTATTAGGTTTATTCAATGCTGTAGCTTTGGTTTAGTCAAAAAAATTAAAATGGTTAAGTCAATGCATTTCTTTTTTTCAAACTTCTTCGTCAAACCTCTCTTTATAAATATTGGTTGAATAATTTAGAAAAGAGCCCTACACCAACGTTCTTGTTATATTTACAATATTACAACATAAAGTGCATTCTTTCAAGCTTAAGGTTGGCTATTGTTGTACCTTTAAGGGTCATTAAATCAACCGCAAACTTGTGCCAAAATAATTATTACTCAAGACCTTGAATAAAGCTTCTATGAGGAACATATTTTTACCATCTTTTACCTTAAATAATAAACTACAAGCAATCAACTGAGCATGCATATTTATAAAATCTCATAAAAACTGGAAATGATGTCATACAGCTTATTTGTTCTTCAAAAGAATACAAATAAAGAGGAACAATATTTAAAACAAGAACATTTTTTCTTACTTTCATGCAACAGTAGAAAGCGAAAAAATGACGCAAACTAGTCCTATAAAGTTACGGGATTTTCTTTGCTCTTTTCACACGGGCTGCTCACTAACAGCTACTTTCTTGTTGTATAAATTTTTAAATGTTTAAGACGAAATGTGTGATGCTCCTATCAGACAGTTTTCGAATTAATTTCTTAGGTCTCGTCCACATTACGTTGAAACGACTTCGTAACGACCGGGCACCGAATTGGTTGTTAATTCTTTCTCCTACGAAAAGTTCAAGAAAATTTTAAAACGGCTCTTTGTGGAGCCATTCAAAATGGCTCTTTTCAGAGCCACCGCAAAAACAAAAGTCTTGGTCTTCGTTTGCTCGAAGTTTTCAGAGGGAAACTGGTTATGAACCTCGGCAAACATGAAAGGAGCAAGCAAAGATGCCAAGATTTATGCTGAGAGGTCCAAGACCGGGCACAATCTTTTGGCTCAGAACGGAGTAAACAACTATTGTGTTTTATGCACGGTCAAGGCCAAAAAATTGAACAAAAACCCAAAACAAAGAAATTTGTCGGATTTCATAACCATTTCCCTCTATTAACTATGGTTTGCTTTGATTCTTTTGTCATTGTTTTTGCTGATGGAAATTATTTTCCACGATACACATTAAAAAGGATATATCGCTTTTCCAAAACAGAATACCTGGATCCTTTTATCATTTGACCTTAACTCCATTTTGACAAGGCAAGCGTCACAGAAAGTAGCCTACAAGCCTGGCCTTGACAACCTTTTATATAATGATTTCTCCCGAGTACTTTTGCCCGAATCATCAGCGTTTTGCTCGAAAAAATTTCAAAAATTTCTGAAACTGGTGGGGAATTGCACACCTCCCGCCCCCCCGGCTCGTACGCCTATGATCTTTTCAGTTTCTTCCATTACAAACAAAGCTACAGGCTTTGAATGTGCGTTTCACCGCCCTCTAAGATCTTTAGTCATTTATTTAAACCTTGCCAAAAAGAGCAAAATTAAACACCATTTAAAAATCTAGTTTATTATACCCATTAATGTATTCTAAGCACCGATCAATATTTATATCCTCGTTGTAATATCAAATGTCTCACAGACAGATTTATTATTCTTAATATTTTTGTTCTGAAGAGAAGTACAATGCATTATTATTTTAAAAAGAATTGCGTCGAGCGTTTTTTTTGTGTGTGCAGGAAAATAAAGCGGAAACTTTTCAGTCCGAGCGCAATACCTAAATATTTCGTTTTCAAATGCAGTTATCTAGTATTATAAAATCTTGACAATTATGTAAAGGTAACAATTTTACGGGGGGGAGTTGGGATTTTCAGTTTTGCGGATTTTGCGAATTTTTGGTTCGGTTTTTCGGTTTTTCGCAATTAAAAACCGTGGTTTTTCGGTTTTGGTGTCTTGTGCCGGCGGTTTGCGAGTTTTCCCCAATTTAGTGTTTGTTTTTCGGTTTTTGTCAACAATAATGGCGGTTTTTCGGATTTTTCTGTCCTATGTATTTTATGGTTTAATTTTTCTGGTTTTGCCAAGGAAGTTACACCATGCAGTCGCGCGAAAACTGTAATTCCAAGGGACCTCTTGTATAACCTTCTACCCAGACTTTCTTTTAGAGGAATCCATGACAAGCGTAGTCTCTTTAGCAGCCGTTATTTGGGTCGTAACGGCTGCCAAGCAGACTAAGAAAAGCATAAGATAACATCAAAGCAAAAGACTATTTCTCAAATATCACGCAGCTGGGATAATATTTTGGGGACTTTGACCTTAGACTATGGACCATCGAGTTCAGTTCTATAGCTCACTGAATTGCGAGTTTTCTCTCTCCCCTTTTCGTTGCGGGAATAACATTGCGCTCACTCGCTCCGTTCACGTGAAATAACAGCAAAGGAGAGACTGTTTGTTTGGTTATAAAATAAAGAATTTTTGTTAAGTCCGGCTGCCATTGTGCCTACACAAATGAAATTCTGACAATGGCAATCAAAAAGCGACATCATAATGTGGCGCTTCTTTTAAACAAAAGTGAACTAAAATCATTTTATCGTGCAATTTTTTTCTAGCTTCCCATTGTTATAGGCCTGTGGAACCTATTTACAAAAGAAAAATAGGCAAGTTTTTAGGCTATGATGAGTTCTACACTAACGAGGGAATACGCAGAAAGAACTTCGGAAAGTAAAACAAGTTGACGCATAAAAAGTTAAATAACAGAAAGAGAGATTCTGAAGCCTACCAAAGCTTTGTCAGTGAGGGCTTTAAATCGGTTTTTGGACGAAATTTATTGCGGTTTTTCGGTTTTAGGCGATGTTTTGTGCGGTTTTAAAGACCTGGTCTGAGACTACAACATAACTTTTCATAACGAAGCTGGCAACGCTGTAATATTACTTTATGAACTTTATCGTAATTCACTGACACCCCTTTCACGCCAACTAAATATGTTTAATTAAACCAGGTTTTAAAAAATGAAAATCAGCAACAGAAAACTGGTAGACTGAATTTTACACATGGTTCTATTAAGCTCTGACGGGCTAATTTTATTTAATTTTAATTTAATTCATTTTCACTGCGCAAACATTTGTGCACAAATTATAAGCCATAATTAAGAAAACATACATTACTTTTACTACTAGGTCATTCATTATGCTAAATATTAAGTTGAGAAACCTCAGTTAGAAGGTTCTACGACGAAAAAGCTTTTAAACTGTGTTTAACTAAACACGTTTAGTTAAACACGTTTTTCACAACAACCGGCAACAAAATTACTTGACTAGTTACATGATTTATCGCCTGGGGTAACAGCACCTTTAATAGTCGATGTATTCAACACGCCATCATCCACTCAACTGGTCAATAAAATATCTATGACGAAGTTTGAAGATCTTAAACTCTTCGATACATTAGAAATATTATAACTCTAGTACTAAGATACTAATCTAGCCGTAATTCCGGTGAAAGGTAAATTATCAACATGTACAGTGCACGTGCAAAACACGAAAAACGAACACGGATGACAAATATCTGTTTGTCATGGTTCTGTATCCTAAGGAGGTTAACCTAACCGGCATAGTTATAGAGGAGAATGTTATGAATCCCGACAAAGTTCTTTATTGTATGTCTTTATTAAGGAGCTTGAGCAAACCATGACGGCACTGGAACGAAAACGTCACTAAGCAAAATGTTTAATGAGCAGAACAATAAATATGCACCTCTGCAAAAGACAAGTTCTGTGTATTTTGGAGAACACAGGCCACGATGGCAAATTTCTGTTATTTCTTTTTGGAACTGACAGCTAGCATTACATTTTCAGTTTGAGCAAGTTTTCAGTTTGATTAGCGCAATAAGCACGGATTCAGACAGTTGCGCAATGCAAAGGTACAATATAAATCCATTTTTCTCTAGACGTAGTCCCTGGGGTCGCAGTTGTCATTGCTTAAGGTTCCTATTCTCTTTATTGGCCTTGACCTTGCTCAAAACACAATTGTTGCTTACTACTCGGAGTGAGAAACAAACTAAAAGAAACGTTTTGGTTACGTAATTCATGACCACGAAGCAATAGATTGGAGACCTTCCAACGTATATGTTGGCATCTTTGTTTACTCCTTTGATGTTTGCCGGGCTTCATAACCATTGCACTCTATTAACTATGACCCAGCTTGCATGGCTATTACTGCAAAATACGTATAGAAACGTACTCTTAGGCTCCCGAAATGTAATGCTAATAACCTGTTTCGTCATATTTGTTCCAATGGATACCTCTTAAAGGAGCTCAGCCACGATTTGCGCATATTGAAAAGTTTAGCCTCAATTTTTCAAATTCGTCGTTTGTAATCCGTGTTATTCTTCTCCATCCTGAGCCATCCTTGTTCCTTTATGGTTTATCAATATCTCTTGGGTGTTTTTCTATCTTATTAAACTGTTATTTTTAGGTTTCCTACCATTTAAAGGTAATTTTGTATGCGGCCAAAATAACTCAAAATACCGCGACTGAACTCCTTTAAACCCTTTCTAATCATAACCTTTGGTTAGTCACAGAATCATAGCATAAAAATCCTTCAAGCGACTGTCCGAGATGATTATCAAAAAATCCTTCTTCCCTTCTAAATTCCATATCATATCGCCAAGTGTCGCCAGCTAAGCAAATAAGATCCTACGGAGCCAAATGGAGCAGGAATTTTGGGGAAAAGTACACTGAACTGAAGAGGATCACAGTTCATCAAATTTGATTTTGTGACAGGATGTGTAGCATCAAAATTGCCATTCTGGTGAAGTTTTGTTTTTTCAGTCGTTATAGTTTCTTTTTACTTGCTATTTCTATGTTTTTCCCGTTTTTTTTTCTTTCGGTAAGATATCGAAACACGTTTATAGCGAGCTCCATTTCCTCCAAGCTATACTTATTAAAACACGATATTTCCAGCCAGGACTTTGTCCCTTAATTCGACAGCTCAACATACTGCAGCCATTGTATTCAATTGTTGAAGCAATATAAATTACTAAGTGGGGCATTGAGAGCGATGTATGACATTTGCACACCGCAGATATTTTAACTAATATCGCATTCCCATTTCCATTACCGAGAGCGAAACATAAACAGGCTAACTGAAGCGCTATTCAGGGCTAACCTGAGTGATATTCATGTTAAGTGAGCGCGATTTAATCCTAAGTGCAGACTGCAATCTGCATATGTCATACCACGTCTCAAACCCATCTTTTTGGATAGTTTAAGAGTCGGTGTTGTACCTGCTGGGGTAGGGGACTAAGAGTTTTACTAAAAAGTTTGTTTTCAATTTGCAACATTCAGCTGAATATTTGTGTAAAGAACGAAATAAGAAACGCCTTCAATCCACCATGGTCTCACACTCGGCTAAGCTACCGCACCTCGCTTGGTAACCTTTACCACAAACTCGATGTCAGCCCTACAGTCCCTTACAAACAACAAGCTATATTTTTGATCAAAAAGCTGACTTCAAAAACAACTGACAGCGTCTCTGATCTTCTAGTAAAATTAACGGTTTTAATTTGACAGACAGTGCAATGCTGAAAACTGGTGTAATGCAAAGTTTGAAGTCTACCTTATTATGCAGTTACACAGTTTATCTTTTCTTGAAATGAGTAAATGAATAAAGAAAGAACAAGCTCTCAAAGAAAAGTTCTTGCTTGAAGGGCCGCTTTTCGTTTTGAATTTCTAGCTTTCTGTCATCATTTTAGGATTTGAATCAACGGTTCCACCACACCATGGCACAAAACAACCAGCCTCGCAGCCACAGCCCATACTGATAAGCACAGATAATACCATTACTGCAGAAGTCTCAATAGCAGGCAGTAGCGCAGCGAAATTCAGACTAAAATCTGCTTCAACAACGAGAGCGACAGCAATACCAACGACAACTCAAGAGCATGAAATCTACGAAACAACAGGTCATTCAACAAGGTCACATACTACTTATTCTGAAACACGGGTGGTTGAACGTTTGCCGAATGAAAAGAGCTCAACACCAGTGCTGATTAAGATGTCACATCCGGTTGTTACGTCATCACCTATCGGAGAGATGACGTCACGGGAAGCCACTGAAGGTGTCCAGCAGGTGGAGACACCTAGAGATAAGTCCAGTCTGTCTACGTCATCTTTAATCAAAGACGTTATGAGATCGTCAGAGGCTTTGAAAATTGAGGCATCTTCTTTGCTCACTAAACAAGAAACAACATATACCTTACCATCATCTCAAGAAAAGCAAATTTTGTTTTCTCAAACCAAGGAAAAATTGACAAGTTCCCTATTTACGGAAATCGAGTCATCCTCTGTCCTGGAACAAATTTTCTCTTCCGAGAACAAGGAAGAAATGACAACATTCAAAGTTTTAGAAATCACCGCATCCTCTATCGTTAAGGAAGAGGAAAGGTCCTCTCTGTCAGCAAAGCCAGTAAAGTCGACTTCGTCTTCAATTAAACGAAATTTGTCTGCTCAAAGCATGGAAAAAATGACATCATCCAAAGTGTTAGAAATTGAGTCATCCTCTATTATAAAGGAAACTCCTTCTCTATTTATAAAACCAGCAGCGTCGAAAGAAAAAGAGTCTTCGTCAAGACAAGTCTTGTCTTCTGAAGCCCAGGGGGAAATGGCATCATCCAAACTAGTGACGTCACCTTCAATCGAGATGTCATCACATGACGAGAAAAGGACAGTACAAACTTTCACGTCCATAAAAATCAAACCTTCATCACTGGAACTGAAGGAAATGACGTCACTTCCTAAGACGATGATGACATCATCTCAGTTAGTGAAGACCACGACATCATCCAGAGCTCTCGAACCTGCATCAGTGGAAAATTCCTCCAACGCCTCAAAAGACGATAACCCATCAGAAAATATAGACATTGCGACACCTCGAGATACCAAAACATTTACCTCTTCTAGAACTTTCATGCCCCAGGCTTTTGGAGCTTCAATTGTCCACAAAAATTCATCGCAACAATTAGAATATATGAAGTCACCACCTCTAACGAAATTAATGTCATCATCACGGTTGCTGACGTCATCAGAAGCTATAAGATCTACACCACTCAAAACAACAACTGAACCCAAACATTTAGAGGATATGACGTCACTACAGTCAAAGAATACCATGACGTCATCACCAGTGGGTACTCCAACACAAATCATGACGTCACCACAAGTCAACAAGGAAATGACATCATCTTTATCTCAGACTTCTTCACTTGAGGACACCGAGTCATCATTACTAAAAACTAATATTGTTACGTCATCTAAGTCAATAAAAGATTTGACGTCATCTCAAACTATTATATCTACCTCCTTCAAAGAGGCGAATATCGTGATAGCAGCTCTAATGTTATCTTCATCTCAAATTGCAGATATGATTACGTCATCTCATCCCAAGACTATGAAAGCCCTGACGTCGTCTGCTGCTGGGTCAACAGGGGAAATACAGCCACCCACTACAGAAACGACGAAACACTTAGATATAGAAAAGACGACTACAACGACAAAACCTCTAACCACCCCTCAATTGCCTGAAGAAAAAACCACAACATCATCAGAAATGAACACTTCTGGCAAGAAATCAGTCGCCATGACAACGTCACACCCCACCCATCATCCTGTTCATCCTAGCGAACCCACGCACCATACTAAACCCGTCCACCCTGGCGATGCCACTCATCATGGAGACAAAAACACCACAAACAAAACTCAAGATGGTCATGTGGTAAACCCCGGCTCGCATAGCACTATGGGATATCCCGATGAACCACCCGCGGTAGAAGCTTCCACCGATGAGAAAGATGATAACAGCTGGCAGATTTCAATTTATGTGGTTTGCGCATTGCTTATTGGGATGGTGTCGTTCGTGATAGTTATGGTTGTAAAAGGCAACCGTGAGTTGAAGAGGTAGGCCTTGTATTTGTCCTGAAAAAAAATCATAAACCTCAAACTTTAAACTTCTTTCTTTTTACACGTTATTTACAGAATTTACATTGGTATTATGAAATAAATATAAAAAGATAAAATGTGCTTGGTAATGAGAGCACTGGCCTTGGCTTTCAAGCTGGTTACCACCATGTTAAGCTAAATGCAGTAGAACAAAGTAAAATACAAAAAAAACATTACTGAAAATACATTACAGAAAAATATATATACATTACATAGCAACTATTATTAGCTCATGCTGCTTCTTAAAGAAATTTCACCCTAAGTTTTTTAGAGAAGGCTGTGATGTGGGGTTCTCTCAAAACTGATATTTCCGACTGGGTGGTGGCTGGGGTAAGGGGGGTGGGGTGAGTAACAAGTCATCACAACACTGAAGCATGGAACTCTGAAGCATATTCTTTCTTAGGTCAAGCGTTGTTGATTCCTAAAGTCTTGAATACCAATGCTCTATCTATATCCTTAGCCTTACATTAGTTGCAGCACTAACAGTGTGTCAAACATTTAGATTACTAACTTATATGGCCTGCACAACTGTTCAGTTATTTCAATTTTAAAAAAAGCCAATTCGGTTTTGATCTGTTGACCACTAGAGCACTCAGAAGAAATCTTGAAATTAATTAAGAAGACACAATTTTACGTCAATTTTTATTTTTCAGAAGAGCAAGTCTCAGGAAGCGAAAACGTCCAGGTAAAGGCTATAAATTAGCCACTTAATATAAGTGTGGTGTACGAGGATTTATAAGAATGAAGATGTCCTCGGCCATTACTGACAACGTCAAATACGTCAGTTGAATGTCAATGCGCAGCAATGACTTATCTGAACGGCTAACAGTCGAAACCTTCATCGCTGTTATTGACCTGAAATCTCAAGGGGGGGGGTACTCTACAATTTTGGCTCCAGGGTGGGGTCCAACCCATTACCCTTTTGTATACCATTTTGATGGAACAGGTACCCCTTTCGTATACCTTTAATTGAAAAAGGTATTCCATTCACGTGCTTTCATAACCTGCCAATATTATAAGTAGATCGCCTAAAAAGGACATCTTCTTCTCACTTTTATGTAATGCTCAATAAATGAAATCAAACAGCTATAAGATGCGTCTGTTCGAAATATTTTAATTAAAGGCCTTTTCAAATAACTAAATGATAGATTTCTCTACCCTTTCATACACCTCAGCTTGTGAAATCGCTACCCTTTTATATACCCGATGCCTGAAAAAGGTGCCCTTTATTTCGGGCGGAGCCTCCCCTCATAGGGAGTACCCCCGGGCCTAAAATGAGGGTAGGTTTACCTTAGCGACTCAAAGTTGTTGTTTTACTAGAGTCAGTTTTAATCTCAACGTCGTGTTATGTTTCCTGTGAACCATCGTAATCGAGAGGGTCTCAACGGGTGCCAAGGCTTGAATGAGAATTTAGCTGTTTACCAGCAAATGAGACCAACGGTAACACGCTCTCATATAAGGACTGTGGAGTCTCAGAAGCCTTAACAGTTAAAAACTCAGTCTTCTACTATAATAATAATAATAATAATAATAATAATAATAATAATAATAATAATAATAATAATCACTTTGTTTAAGTATCGATGTATTTAGCATGTATTTAGCACTACTCCTTCACATCCATCGTAAGCTTGTTTTGAAAAGACAAAACCGGCAAATCTCACTGTGTTTCAAAGTCGGTCTTTCTCTAAATAATTTATTTTCGGCCTGTGTCTTCCGTGACACTTATTGTTTGTACAACTACGTTACATTTTGTGATTTGCTTTTAGTTGCTCGAAAGGATAACGCTTTTGTGCTCAAAATGACCAAAACGGAGGAAGCAAAGACGACTCGTGGCGCAGAAAAGAAAAAGGAAGAAAAACGACTCAGCATGCATAGCCGAGCAGGCACTGAAGAATCGATTCCCCTTTTACAATTGCACATAGGAGATGGTGAACATCCTGTGCTTAGTAAAAAGAGCGAGGCACAGGAAACCCAGCCTGATGAGCCATCCACTTCTTACAAAGATTCGAAGCCACTTATTGAAGAAAACGCAAACATTGTGGATAGCCCTGGAACTTTTATTTAAAAAGCGAATTGATAAATAGGCCATTTTACAGTTGTGTGCTTAGTTACCTGGCCTACAAATGCAAGCGAGACTGGAGGTGACCCTACCTTGCTTTGATACAGACCGCTCTTCTTTTCTCATTTAAATGCCAGCTAATTAGCATAACGACAACTTGATCGAGGTGAGGTCTTTATCAAAACAAGGTCACCTGCAGCCTCGTTGCCATTCAAAGGCCAGGTCACTGAACAGACAACTGTAAAATGGTCTATTCTTAAACTCTTTTCTTGTATCTACTGTTAATGACAACTACTGAGCATGCAGGTTTCCATGGAGCAGTTGTGGTCTGTCTTTGTGATTTGCATATACTTACGAGTTGCCATGGCAGACCATAACTTGACGAGCTATTGTTTTTGATCTCAGCTATATTTAGCAACAAATTGAATGGGTCTGATTGGTCATTTCTGCTCCTGCTTTTTCCTGATTTTCGCTCTACTAGTCAATTGTAAAATTGTACAATGTTCAACTATCTGTTTTACCAGAGTTAAAGGATGACTGCACTGAGATGGTAATGAATATTCGGTTTCAATTGTTTGATTCAAAATTATGTTAAATTTTGTCTTGTGAACTGTTGGGAAATATTTGTAATAAGTAGCGCAACCCCTTCCAGGCGTTCAGTTAGTTGGGGCGCAGTGTAAAAAACGGCTAGCGAAAAAATAAAGGAGAAGCGCCGCAGTTCTCTCCTTTTTTTTTGCTCGCCGTTTTTCGCGCTGCGCCCCAACTAACTGAACGTCTTGAAGGCGCTATATGTAGTGATGATGATGTTGTTGTAACTTATTGTGTTTAATTATCGAGTTTCCTAGAACATACTTATTATTATTTTTTTCTTTTTAATTTTTTATCTGGTTTTAACTTAAAACGTAATCTACATACACTCCGTTGAATCTGATTTGTCCAAAAGTCGCGCGTATCGCGAAATATGAATTTGTCTAAATTCGACTGAATTAAATTTTGTATGAATTCCAGGGCAGAGAACGCTTACACGGAAAAACCTTAATGGACCAACTGTTTTCTTTTCCACTAATAAATTTAGTCTTAGAATTAATGTGAAGTCTTCAATATGTTTGCGCAGACTCGTACAGAGCAATTTTCAAGTTAGCAATTTGGTGTTAAAGGAGCTACGTCACGGTTATCACATCTTGAAAAGTTTAGCCTAAATTTTTTTAAATTCGTCGTTTGTAATCCGTGATAATCTTCTTAACCCATCCTTGTTCTTTTATGCACATACCTATATGGCCCATACAGGAGCTTGGGCCCATATAAGGGAGTACTATCCCCCGGGAATGTATATCCGGGATCTTAGTATAGAAGTTCAGCTAGTCTTCAGCAAGCACTTATTTATCAATTCTCTGAACGAGTTCAGACTAAAACCTACATTACTCTAGCGAGCAGCTATTTTACTAATCACTGAACTACAAGCTTCAATATTTCTAGGTAAAAAATGATCTGTAGACTTGTTTGGGTTTACAAACCTAGCCCCCGACCTAACTTTGGAGTATGCCAGACAGGCATTAGCTGGCTTGACAAAGTCAATCTAACAACACTGAATATATGCACGCCAATACTTGAAAATTAAGATCGAAAGTCCAATGAAAGGTCTGCAAGGAAGAACCTAGAACAAGTTAAGTTTTACTGCGCCTTTCAGTAACATGCGGACTCTAAAATTTATAGCTCAACCAACAAATGCTTTTTTCGCTACCGTCAATCAAATGTTCGGCGGCTCCTCCCAGCTTCCGACTACTGCCGAGCGCGCGATAATCAAATCAAATCGTCGAGCACAGTTCAGACAACATAGTCGGAAGCTGGGAGGAGCCGCCGAGCATTTAATTGACGGTAGCGAAAAACGCATTTGTCGGTTGAGTCCGCATGTTATTGAAAGGCGCAGTAAGCAGCACGAAACCGGCTAAAACTGGAACTCTGAAGCTCAAACCAAGAATTCCCATGCATGCCTACTGTAGGAACTGTAACGAAAGGAGTTCCGTGCGGAACTGCGCGGTTAGGGACGGATATAGACCATCAGCTTGGGTGCTGTTGAATATACACGAATAACGGGTGGACGAACTTGACTTGGGGAAATCTCGGAAGAGCATAGGCTCGCTGCACGGCACTCATTACTCAATGCCAAAGGTATAGGGTCGTCTCTCTTCAGCCGGACGGTGAATGAGCAAGGACTCTCAAAGATCTGGAACTCTCTTGTCTTCTTTATCGTAGATTATAATATAGATAGGACCCTGCGCGTGCTCTGATTGGTCAAAAACCCATGTTTTATTTAACAAATGTAGAAAACATGAACTGCAGGCGAGTGTTTCCTACATTTCTCGTGTGTAACTAGCTTTATTTTTTCGCTTTTTTCTTTGTTGACACTGTAAATTATCCGTAGAAAAACACAAAACCATGCTATGAAATGCGACACCTCGAAAACCCCACCAAACGGAACAAACTTGATTCTTACTTTATTTTACGCCGGCAAGAAATTTCAAGTATAGCGATACTCTTTATAAATATCTAGTCCTGTATTAAGGTCAAAAATTAAGCAAAAAACAAATAGATGAAGGCTAACTGTCAGTTGCATGTAGCCAGATCGGTTATGATCTGTTGACAGCGAATCGACAATCTTCAAAAACGGCATAATATTATTCCTTTTAGGCGTTTAAAACAAATTCATGTTCATTGCTTTTATGGCCCGATTTAATCAGGGTTATATGGAGACCGAATCATTTGGATTGGGAGTAATCCAAATAATATGCTGTGTCATTTCCTGTTAGATTGGGACTATTTATCTAGGGGTGGGGGCGCTCCCTTATATGAGCTATAAAGGTATGTGTGGCTCTAAGGGGTATAGTTTTTGAACCACTTTGGTGTGTAATAGGGTATGGTTTGTGCACTCTGGACTTGGATTGGGGATGCTTTAAGAAGATGCTACTCAAACTATGCTTACGTGTACCGTGCACCTGCCGCAACGGCTTGTCACACTCTGAAATGGGGTATCGAAGTTTGGGTCGGGTGTGTCTGAAACAGGGAAGGGGAAATTGCACATTTTGGTTTTAAATAGGGCAAGGGTTTCACGAAGCTCGCCGCACAACCCCACCCAATTTTTCTAGGAGTATCCCCATGGTATTTTTACACCATCTAGGTCTAAGATCATTGAGCTCTTACTAACGGTATTGCCATCAAAGAGAGTGTGAGATGCGGTATTTGACTTACACCCGTTCTTGAGTTCCTTCCAGGGAGGAGTAGAAATACTCCTAGTCACTTCATGCAACAGAAACCGGGATAAGCTCCTGCTTGATGAGCTACTTGGCTCTTATGCAGACTTTGGTGGTTTCAGATCAGATATAGACTTCATTTTCAGTTTTTCTGACTGAAAACCCCCATCTAAAATGCGCATTGTAGAAAACCTCCTACCCCGGAACCTTTTGAAATAGAACTACGATTCGGAGTACAGTTCGGCTACTTTTGAAAAAGATCCTAAATAGTACATGACATGAAGTTATTATAATCAAAATCTGATTTCTCTTGTCAACATCGATGCATTGTTAAGTATTCAGGTAATGAGAATAAAGAAAATCATCAACAAAGGAATATTGTCCTGATGAAACACAAAATCCTCAGAAGTAAGATCTAAGGTTTAGGTGCTTATCCCTTTTTCAAAAGGTCTTCCATGCATTCTTTATACTTGGACCTCAGCTCTGGGTCTCTTGCAAGTAGGCGTCGTTTTAGCAGCTTGAGGCGGTGGTCGACCACCGACCTATTGTTCTCTAAACAAGGAGGGTCGTTCCTCCAGGGTAGGGCAAGCTCATAGTGGCCATTTTCCAGAGATGATAGAGTCCCTCATTAACTCCATGACGTGCTTATCGTTAGCGGACATCGATCTAGCTTCACTGTATGCAGAGTCCTTGAATTCCATATCACAGTAACTCTGAAACTGTTCATTTAGCCGCAGGTCGGCCTTTATGAAGTTAGCAGTGCGAGTGTTAGCGTTCGTAACCTTGCCTAGTGGACCATTAACCACCCAACCGAGGGTGGTTCTTGTAGCGTAAGGTCCTCCATTCTGACTTGGAATAACCTGCTGAGGCTCAAGGATTTCTGGGGCGTCGCTGCCAATGAGCAAGCCGACATCCGCATCTATATGGGGGATCTTCACTTCGGAGAGGTATCGCCACTTTTCGACATCTTGTTGGTTTGCGACACTTTCGGTAGCAACAGGCAGACTTGGTCTTGTGAACAGGACTGGGAGCTCGAAGAGATTCTTCTCATCCAAGTCCAGTACTTCTAAACTTACAACCCGACAATCGGTTTTGCTGTTCTCCTTTTCCATAGTCGTTAATGACACCGTGGTCTTTTTTCCTGACAAGTTCAGTTCTTTTGCAGTAGCTTCTCTGAACAGAAAGATGCGTTGGAGCCATTGTCCAGAAATGGGTAGGTTTGAATCATCCGATAAGAGCCCTTTGCTTTCACTTTAATTGGCAAGATAGCGAGACCGGTTGCGGATGCTTGATTTTGTTTGCTGTGTGGTCCTAAAGCTTCATTTCTTTCATCAGCAAAGCCATTGTGAACCCTCTGATTGTCCAGTAGCTGTGTAGCCCCTGTACCACTGGCTACCCTAGCTCCGGAAGCCGGAAGCGATATTAGCAGTTGGTCAGTCATTCTTTGGCTGCAAGAAGGAGGAGTGTTTGGTGTAGACATTGCAACCAGTTACACGACAGAAGCTTTCTTTCGGACAAGAGTTGGAGAAGTAGCCAGGCACAAGGCAGTTATCGCAAATGTTTTTGGAGCGGACAAAGTTAAATCTGTCTTTCAAAGACCTCTATTTAAACTCATCGCAATGGGACAGTCAATGCTGGGCATTACAGAGAGGGCATTTTTGGTTATAACCGTTAACTGGTGTGTGGGTTCCTGCTGAAAGACCGCGTCAATGGCGAAGTTTGGACACCTTAGGGGGTGGCTTCTCTCTGAACTTCGATCCCCTGGGAGGTACTGGGTTGTCCTTTGTAACATTTCCAAAGATGGCGAGTGTGGCAGCACGAGCCTTTGAGGTAACGAAACCATCTATGTCTTCTATTGTAATTTCCCGTTCTTCCGCTTCGGTGATCCTGTCTGCGACGTCACGCCACTTCAGTTTCAATCCATATGGCAGCCTGTGAACGATCACTTTCAGGGTATCTGGATTCTCCTTTTTGCTAATATAGCCGATTTCCCTTTGAGTATTCTTGTAGCCAGTGAGCAGAAACGAGAACCGCCGTAGTGCAGAGTTGTCCTCTGCTTTAATGGGTGGTCCCTTTTTTAACTTGTTGACGTAAGCAGTAGCAATCCAGTAGCTTTGACCGTATCGTTTCTTAAGTAGACTTCTAGCTTCCTGATATCCTTCCTCAGGTTTCATAGATAAACAGCTGGACACCAACTCTTGCTCTTCTTCGGATGTATATTGTACCAGATGGTATAATCTTGCGCTATCACTGGTGGTTTTGCTTTCGATTACGTTTTGGAAGGTTCGTATGAATCCCCAGTACTCGATAGGGTCTCCGCTGAAAGTACGTACCTCTGGTTGAGGGAGTGTCAGGGCAAGTCTGCTCTCTTGTTGTCGCTGAAAGTAACTGTTGCATCACGGAATTCAGCTGGTTTTAATGAGCTAACAAACTTTCGAGAAACGTGTCGGGCGGACCACGTTCCTCTTTCGCTACTGAGTTCAGGTCATCGCATGGCCAACTGTCGGCATTCGGAATAAGAGGTTTGCTAACTTTAGGAACTTCACTATCGCTATGGGAGTACGTAGGTCGGTTGACAGCTGGAGCTAAAGAGTTAGGGGTTGCCTCGCGATCTGCCTCTGCTTCTACGTTGACCAACTCCTCAGCTCGTGCCTTTCCAATTTCTGTTTGGAATTCCAAAGATGTTCTTCGTTGTTGGAGGCTTAGCTCTTCCTTTTGGAGGGCGTGGAACCTTTCAAGGCTGGCGGCTTCGGCTTGTAAAGCTGCTCGTGTAGCGGCGGTCTTCGTCTTGGCGGCTGAAATTGAACTCGCGCGGGAACCAACTGCAATCGACGAACGTTTTCTCGAGCGGCCTGATGACTTTCAATTGGCACGAGAACCGGCGTTGCTAATTGAATCCTTAGGATGGAACTCTTTTGAGGCTGTAGCAATCTTGTTTCGATAGCTGTCGACGAGATTCAGTTACCAACATCACGTGCCAAATCCGTTCCTAGACTTCCTAACGGAAAACTGCTGCGTTAAAATAATCATTGGACTCTCATTTCGTTTGCGTCACGAAGTTGAGAATGATAAGCGGCATGGGCATCCTCAGAGGAACTCTTGGAAGAATTGTTTGAATTCTTCGATTCTGCCCTTTACTAGATCGTAATAATTGTTAGACTTCAGCATCAACCTTTTTATTTCGTTTTGGGCCTTAGTAAGAATTCCCTTCTTAGAACTTCTGCTCCTTGTGAGCTGTAGGAGTTTTTCGGATCGAACTCCGTCCCAGTCGAGAGTAACATTTTCTTGCCTAGCCTGCGGAACAGGCGCATTAGCGGGGAAGAGGGCAAAACGCGATACGCGAGCGCGAAGCGCGAGAAGGAACAAAAAAAGGATTTTTTCGTCTTGCGCTTCGCGCTCGTGTATCGCGTTTGTCCACGCGCGTGTTGTGGAACGTGATAGCTTATTGCATAACTTGAACACGTGTCAGGTGACGTGTTTCAAGCCAGTCTTCGGAAAGGTGAAAATCCAAGGATAACTGATGAATAACGCCAGACTTCACGGCAAATTCGAACTGATGTGGCTTTCCGAAGGCCTTGGCTGGGCTACCTAACGTAACAATTCAAACACGTGTTGTTCACTTCAAGTAATGCAATAAGCTATTCCCTATGGGGCCACATATAGCTATATAGCCAATAAAAGGGAATAGTACCTCCGGGAATGTATATGCGGATCATGCTAGAGAGGATGGGTCGTCGAGGGTTTCAAATAACAAGAATAACGATTATAGAGTACACTGTTCTGTCTGGCACGTCGAGACACGCATAACATCAACTTGCGCTGTCGCTGCACCATCAATAAAGTACTTCGTATTTCTGTTTTGTGAGTTTATACACTTCCAGTGTTCTGCAGAACTATTACTTATAGTGAATCTTCAGTCTAAATTACAGCTTATGTTAACTTTAACACTATAGAAACAAGGTAACACGCTGGCTACCGGCTAGACTGCATTTGCTTGTACACAGTGTTATTCAGACTGTTCAGACAGTTCTTATTGTTTCTCTAACTACATTCCATGTTTAACAAGTTCTTACAGTAAACATTTTCCTGTTATCAAAAGGTAGACTAAGGTAGCCATGATGAAATTGCCTTTAACATTCTATTAAAATTAGCTAAAGTTCATCAGATATTCTAAGATTCTAGGACTGCGTATACACGAGTAGAAAAAATCACCTTGAAGAGAACTTATTGGACAATCAGTTGTTCCTCTGAAGTTCATCGATCTTTTGGTTAACTATATCCATTTGTTGAATAGTTAGACCAGCTATTCGTTGGATGAGGTCAGCCACCCTATCCTGCTTGCAGTTCAAAGCCCATAACTCTTCCCTTACATTACCCTGCTCGTTGTCGCCAAACCATGGATTGTCAAAATCGGTTGCATTGACCGCGTTGAATGCATTCCTGGTGGTCACCTGGTCGAATGCAATGACGAACGCTCCTTTGGGGACAGTTCTGTTCCTTCTGTTGTTGTTTTCCCAACACACGACACGAAGATTACTGCCGTTCTTGTAGCCGAAGCCGTAGTGAAATCCTAGATTTCTGTCCAGAAAACATACAAACGTTCGGGACGCAATTTCGTCTTGGCCAGAGAGCCTAACGCCATTCCCTATTTCTTGAATAACAGGGGCTAGGACATGGAACAGGCTCAGATCATCCATTACGTGCGCCTTTTCGATTTGACTCAGAGCCGAAACTGGTGAATTCATAATGTCTTTTATTTTGTGTAAGTTGATCTCTGATTGGTTAAAATGTCTCACACCACTTGCTCTATTCAATGAAATATCGAAATATCGAAACACAAACATTGCTGCTCACTTCATTATATTACTCAGTTTGTTCCCAGTCTACAAGTTCTTATTCTCCTCTCAAGAGAAACAGTGAAATCACCTGAACGTTCAGTTTATAAGTTCATCAGACATTACCAGATAGTCTGACAGCCCAGAAGCTCTCCGAAAGGAATCACAACTTTTGCTCGCCATTGACCGTAAAGGACAGTTGTTGTCTTCCAATTCAAGACTTTGAGCACGTGCTTCTTCTCGCTATATCTTCTTGCACTTGCAGGTGATATTTCCTCGGCTCTTTCAACAAGTATTTTTACTATCGAACGTTTTTTGTGGCGTTTGTTTGTATGCGACTGAGTATCAAACTTTTCGGTAGTGATATCTCGCATCTTCCTAGAAGTCCAGAGAGTCTTCAGCAAGCGCCTATTTATCAGTTTTAGAGTGAGTTTAGACTTGCATAGTTACTCTAGGAGACAGCTATTTTCTTAGTTACTGAACTACATGCTTCAATATTCTTCGGCCCAGTTCAGACGTCGTGCTTCCACCGTGCCGAACTTAATTGCAATTTGGTTCGACTGTGGCACGGCAGGAAAACAACTCTGATTCGGACGTCGTGCCAAAGTCAAATCAAATTCAGAATTTACTGATACCTCGTAACAATTCTCCTCCTAACTCCCCGTGGGAACGCAATCCCGCCAAATTATATTAATACAGTTTATGGATTTTGTTTGGCGCGAGAGAAGCACGACGTTTCAATCGCCGCCGTGCCATAGTCGTATAGTAAGGCAGAGCTTGTGGAACTTAATTGCTTGCCGAACTTAATTCAGAAGTTTTGTCGAGAATATGATTACGTAATAAGGGTGTGACGTTGTTAATATTTACTTATAACTGACAAGAGACAAAAGAAGAGATCTTTTTTTGTACACGTGGGATCGAGTTGAACGAGCCAGTAATGAAAAGTGTATATCGAGAGTGATTAGCGTTGAGCTTGATGTAAGCCTGTATTGAGAAATTAATCAGAGCATTAAAGCAATTCACAACA